CCAGCCCGAGGGCCTTAATCATGGTGGGTTTTGGTCTTCACACTTGCCCACCCGCGAGGAATGTTCTAAACAAGAGGACACCCAGCCCGAGGGCGTGAGTAATCGACCAACATGCCCACCCCAAGGGATGTTCTAAACAAGCGATGTCCAAGTTAGACCACACCATATTCCTTCCTGTCATCCAACCATACCAACATTTCAAGCATAAAAGAATGTGCAATGCAACAAGTAATACGAAAGGATAACTGAAATTCATTAAATTTTTTTTTTGCGCAAACTTTGCAAGTTAAAACTTTATTCGAACTTCCAGGATTTCTTTGCAAAAAGTAAAAAGAAAAATTCTACACATAATATTTTTTCAAATTAGCTATTTTCTATGACCTGGCAAGCGATCGGCCTTCTACATCTTTTAGCGAGTACGCTCCTCCTGCGTGCACTCGCTCGAACAGGTATGGTCCCTCCCAGTTCGGCTCTAGCTTTCCAACATGCTTGAGCACATCGACACGCTTCCAAACCAGGTCGCCTACTTGGAGTCTGCAGACTTTCACCTTCTTGTCATGAGCGGCTTGCATCCTCTGCTTGGCTGCCTCCATCCTGATTGCTGCTCTTCCACGCAGCTCCTCAATAGTATCCAGGGCTGCCATCATTAGATCCTCGTTCTGCTCAGTATCATATGTGCTTGACCTCTGGGATGATAATTCGACTTCGACCGGCAGCAACGCCTCCATCCCATAGGCTAGACTGAAGGGTGTTTCTCCTGTTGTCGACCTCGGGGTTGTGCGATACGCCCAAAGTACCGAGCGCAACTCATCGACCCACGCCTCCGAGGTCTTTTCCAGCTTTGTCTTCAGCCCATTCAAAATAATTCGGCTGGTTCCCTCGACCTGGCCATTGGCTTGCGGATGAGCAACGGAGGCAAAGTGTTGCTCGATTTTCATGTCTTCACACCATGCTCGAATCATCTTACCATTGAACTAAGTACCATTTTCAGCAATCAACACTTTGGGTACGCCAAACTGTAAAGACCCGCGATGATTTTGTGATTTTTGTAAATAATTTGTATATTTTC